GAATATGATGTGTGTTAGGAATATAATGTTTACAGGAATATAATGTGTTTATAGGAATATGATGTTTATAGGAATATAACGTGTATTTTCAGGAATATAATGTGTGTTTTTGCAGGAATGTGATGTCTATTTACAGGGATATGATGTGTGTTTATAGGAATATAATGTGTATTTACAGGGATATGATGTGTGTTTTTGCAGGAAAACCTGATGGAAGGGGAAGGAAGAAGAAAGATTTAAACCCCAATGGATTAACAGACCCCAAATAAGGTTTCAAAGCTGTGGCAAAATTGGCTCCTCTTCACTTGGTCTTTGCTTTTTGGGTCATTATGGGAATAAACTGCTCTGAAGTTGCATTTAAACGGCTGAAAATAATTGTGTGGATTACTGGATTAAAAGAGGGACATCCCAGTGCAGAGGTGGGAGCAGCAGCACAGGCTCTGCAATGATAATTTGGATGTGGTAACTTTGATTTCACATTTATAGCCCAAAAAACTGCCTGATCTCACTGGTCTGTGGCTAAAACAGCACCAAAACCTCATTAAAAACCCCCAAAAATAAACTTACTGCTGGGATGGAACTCCCCTCACGCCTCAGTATAGGTAGGAAAGACTTTTAAATGCTCTTTTTTTTTTACTGGTTCAGTCATAAAAACTACATTTATTTTAAAAAGGTATTTACAAACTTTACAACAGTCAATACATTTTAAAAAAAACCACGGAAATTTATACACCTTGTTTTACAGACTTAAGGAATTGTGTGTCATTTACCCAGAGATTCCCTTCCCAAAGCTCCTGTTATTTTTTAATTAAAGCTGTATTTTTTTTGCTGATTCGACCGCAGAGGACTTAAAAAAAAAGAGGGGGCAAAAGAAAAGAAAAGAAAAAAGGAAAAGAAAAGCCTGCAGAGGTGGGTTTGGAGTTAAATCACCACATCCAGGACACACAAACGTCCCACAAACTCCAAATTCTCCCAAAAATCACAGCAAGGTTTGTCATGATTAAACCTTTACAACACCACAGTGAAAAATTATATTAATTAATACCATGTACCTGAATTTTGGAGCTGCTGAGGAACTTCCACTTCTGTTTAAAATTATAAACCAGCAGAAAAGTAGATTCTGGGAGTGCCAAACTGTCCTAAAGGTGCTTTAATTAATTAATTAGAGCAGAATCAGGTGAACCTCATGTGCCAGTGCAGGGAAAAAAAATCACATTATTGTTTAATTTTTCTTTGCTGCTTTAGTTCTTGGAAAAGCTCACCCTGATACACCAGAGAATTTGGTCTGCAACAGTAAAAATGAGATAGTTTTTAATTAAAAATAAAAAAAAAATCAAAATAAGGCAGCAGAAACGGGTCAGGAATGTTTTCACTATATATATATATATATATAAAATTAGTTAAATTACAGATTTCAACTTCTTATTTCCATTTACAATTAGAAAAATAAATAAGGAGAGAGAAGATCTGAGGGGGTGTCACTGCAAGGCCAAACTGTGAGTCTGGAGCAAACCCTGGGCTGGGAGAGGGGAGTTTCTGGGATATTTATTATTCCCCCAAACCTTTGCACATTCAGGGGGGTGTTTCTGCCACTGCACATCCCAGAGCTGCTCTCCCTGGAATTCTGTGTCCTTCCCTAATCCCATAATCCACCAAAATTCCTGTCCTTGCCTGTCTTTCCCTGATGTGGATTAGAGCCTGTAACATTTTTAAAAGAATTTAGCCCAGCACGACCAATTTTAATTAAAAAGCTCCAGCAAACGAGTGTTGCAGCACATTTCTCTCCAAAGGGACAAAAATAAAACCCTCAAAACCTCGAAATTTTAACAGCAGGGTTTGGAAATGGGATTAGGGTTTTGTCTTCTCTGCAGGGCTGGGTTTTTAACTTGGAGATTTGGGGTTTAAAACTGTAAATTGGGTAAAAACACTGATTTTTTTTTAAATTTCTCATGTGCAGGGAGCATCATTATGGACCATCCTGCTCCCATTTTTAGCCCTCCAGTTTAAAAAGCATCAGAGATGTTTCCAAGAGCATCCAATCAACATGAAAAGATGATTTTTGTTTAAAAAACTAAGTAGAGACACCTTAAATTGAAAATTAAACCTCAGAACTTAGGCAGGTGCTGGAGCAAAGAGCAAACACCTAAAAAAAAAATCAAGGATTTCTCAGAGATGTGGGCACTTAATTCCACTTAATTAAAATCAGTCAGGCCCCTGGCTTAGTCACACACTTGAATGCCCAATTGCCTTTAAAAACTTGAAAATTAAATGAGTTTTTTTGGGGGGCTAAAACTGGCACAAAGCCCTGAATCTTTCAGGCACAGAACAGAAATTCCACCTGGAACCTCTGAGCCAAAGATGCTGATTTGTGTCAGCCAAGAACATCCTCCCCCCTCCCAGTCAGTCCCACAGGTAAGAAAACAACCCCAATTTGGGAGCAGTGGAGAGAAGTGGGGAGAGTTCACAGCACTTCAGACTCTACAACAAAAATAAGGCTGAGAAAGGGAAAAAGAATTAAAAAAAAAAAATCACCTGATTTAAACCCCTTTCTGGCAAATTTGCCAATGAAAACGCTCAAAAAGAGGAGAAAGAAAAAGAGTTTGGGATTAATCAGCATTGGGAGTGATTTAATAATCAGCTTTTAACCACCAGAACAAGAGAAATGTGCAGCCAAAGGGCATTAACTCCTTTGTTTGCTAAAAGGTATAAATAGGGAAAAGTTTTGACCCTCCCACTACCAAAAACCCAGGGTGAAAAAGGGCCAACAGGAAGCTGCTGGATCCAAAAGTACTGAAGATTTTCTGCCTCTCTTTTCTATTCCTTTCTCTTTCTCCACCTCACATTTACTGGTAAATAATAAATATAATATTGACTTTGGCACATGGCCTTGTTTGCACCTTAATTCAGGCAGAGGCTTCTCCAATAATCAGATTTTAACACGCCTTCAGTGCTGTTTAAGGTTCCTTAAGCCAAATAAAAGGGCTGTTAAAGCTTAAATTACACCAAGCACTGAATATTCCTGATTTTTGCACAGCACTGGGATGGGTTCCAGCCACCCCCTGACTCTTCAGAGACTTTAGGTGACTCTGGGCTCAAAAATGATCACCCAGGAGAGACAGAAATTGTTTTCCCTCTGAGCCAAAGAGAGGAAGGGAAGGGGGAGGATAATTAACCACTTACACGCCAAGCCCTCTGTTCATAAACCTCATCTGTAAAACTGCACAAAAAGCAGTGAGAACCAAACCCCCTCAGGTTAAAGAGCAAAGTGGAAAGGGCAGAAAGGTCAGCTGAAAAATTCTGGCCAAGGTCAGAGCTCCTCCTGGGAGGGTTTTTTTTGGCATGGATTGGTTCCCTCCTCCAGGAAAAACGCACAAGGTACATCCAGGTGTTAAATTGTGAAAGAAGAACAAATAAAGGCTGGAAAATGAGAGTCACTGGGCACCAAAATAGCCAAAATCTGGCAGCTGGTTTGTTCACCCCATTCCCTGGGGTCCCCACTCTGTTCCTGCTGTCTCCCCAAAGGAATTAAAAGCCAACCTGCCCTGGCAAGGAAATGCAGCCAGGAATGAGGGCCCAGGCAGAAAGGCACTGAATGAACCAGAGGTGCTGTTGAGATGCCCTGCAGACACCTCAGACCACATCCTGCTGTTCTGCCTGAAGCCAAATTCGCACAAGAAGACAAAAAGTTCTTGTTGGAGCAAAGTTTGGGAGGATCCTGGAGTTCCTGGGAGCAGGAGGGAAGTGGTGACGAGGGGAGGAAGAAGTGGACAAAAAACCAAAAGACAAGAAACCCCCCCGTGGTTTTCAAGTCAAGCAGAGTTTGTGTCCCAGAACATAACGAGGAGCTGACAAGTCTCCAACACTCCAGGGAGGGGGGGACCTGGCCAGGGTGTCCAGGAAGGTTTCCAAGATTCCCCTTGGGAAGCACCGAGCCAGAGGCAGCTGTGAGTGTGTGCAGCAAACAGGCTGTGCACGGATGTGATGTGACTGCCCTGCAACCCCTAAAACATCCCCAACCCAGAGCTGATGGGAATCCAGGGTGATTCTGGGATGCAGACAATCTGTCTGACAGGGCCTGCAGCTCCTGGAGTCACACAGGAGTCACAAGAATCCAGAAGAACAAAAGAAAGGACAACTTCAGTCTGAACAACTCCCCCCCTGGGGCTTCACTGGGTTTGCTTTTCCCTGAAAAACTTCCACGAGGTTTAACAAACTTCATTTTTTCATTGGGAGCCACTTCTGTGTGTAATGAAAAACCATTTCTGGCTGTAATGAACCCCATGTCAGTCAGATGAGCACAAGAAAGGTGCAGTGGCCTTCAAAGAACCAGAAGAACAAAAGAAAGGACAACTTCAGTCTGAACAAAACCCCCCCGGGGCTTCACTGGGTTTGTTTTTCCCTGAAAAACTTCTATGAGGTTTAACAAACTTCATTTTTTCATTTCATTATATACATTTTTTCATTGTACGTAATGAAAAACCATTTCTGGCTGTAATGAACCCCATTTCAGGCAGGTGAGCACAAGAAAGGTGCAGTGGCCTTCAAAAAACCCCCAACCCAAGAGTTAATTGTATTTACTACTGTCAGCAACATCCTCAGCAGGTTTTTGGTGGCTCCCCCCCAAACTTGCACCAGATCATCAGAAGTCAAATGACAAGTTACAGTTAACAAGTAAAATGATTTCCTGGAAAAGAAAATGTTCCTCAATACTGGTGATAAATTAATTCCAAACAGCCAAAGTTTTGTGTTAGTTCAGAAATTTGGATCCAAATTCCTCAGCTGGTCCCTCTTTGTGAGTTTTAAGAATCTTTAAACTCTCCAAGAAGTCTCAATCTAAACTTTGCAGGCAAACCCTCATTTCCCTGAGTTCCACAGTGAAAGGGAACAAGAAGAAGTAATTTTCTGCCAATCCCTGGAAAACATCAGGGAAAAATAACAGCCAGGACATGAACAGGGCAGGGTGGAAGGGCAAAACCCTCTGCCTGAATGGGGCAAGAGAATAATTCTTACAAATCAAGGAAACCTCCAGCTGCACTTGCTTTTCTGCTGCTGTGGCAGCAACAGGCAGCTGCAGCTTTGGGGTGAGATCTAAATGATGATATCTAAAGAAATTCTGAATTAGGCAGCTTGGCAGGAAAACTGAAGCTCTTTATGATGCATTTGTCCTGAAACAGGCACTCTGGGGAAGTCCTGCTCCACACAGGATTCCAGGGGCAGCTCAGCCATGGGAATTCTGTGCCTGAGGCCCATCTGGTCCAGAAATAACACTGATATTTGTGTTGGATTTTTGGTCACTATGCAACTGTGGGCACGGGCTATTCCTGCAGTGCCACAGCCCTTCCTGCAGGGACCACGTGATTTT